GACCACTGGTGTGTGCCGCCATGGCCGGCTAATTTTTTTTACTTTAAATTTTTTTTGTAGACACAGGATCTTTCTGTGTTGCCCAGACTGGTCTTGATCTCCAGGGCTCAACTGGTCCTCTGGCCTCAGCCTCCCGAAGTGTTGGACTACAGGTGTGAGCCACTGTGCCTGGCCAACACTTGTAAGCTTTAGGAGTTGATCAGTCACAACATACTGTTCAGATTTTCTTTTTTAAGGAAACCACTTAATTTGTTACTTTATATTATAAAACACTTCATAAGCAGTTAGATTTTATCAGCTAATCTTATCCTGTAGCATGTTGAACATCAAATACATGTGCTTAATTCTCTCTGGAGTTACCTCAAAATCTGCAACCATCCTTCCCCCCATACTCCCCTATCTTATTTACTATCTTTAGTCTAACGGTGCTTAATTCTTTTCCATGAGGTATGTGCTCTGAATAATGACCTGTTAGTTATCTAAATTGGATTCCCTGGCATAAGTGAAAACTTTCAGGTTGTACAGTTTCCTTATTCTATGTTCTAACGGTTAAGGTGCTTATGCTAGGACATGTGGTTCACTGTGAATGTAACATATCTGTGTGTAATCTAGTCATTGTATAGAACATTCACCACAAAATGGTTAAGGTGCTTATGCTAGGACATGTGGTTCACCGTGAATGTAACACATCCGTGTGTAATCTATTCAATATATAGAATATTCACCACGAAACGGTTAAGGTGCTTGTGCTAGAACATGTGGTTCACTGTGAATGTAACACATCCGTGTGTAATCTAGTCAATGTATAGAACATTTACCACGAATACAACATATGGTGCCACCACTTACTGTAGCTTCTCTGTGTCAGTGTAAATACTTACCTGTTCTTAGGATTAAATAATATATACTCGCAAAATGCCTAGGATGATATGCATGTGTCTGGTACTGAGTACTTAAAAAATACTAGCTATTCCTTCTTGGAGCTGTTCAGGCAGCATGTACATAAATGAAAACCTAGTCAAGGAAAGAGAAAAAACTCACAACATTCTCATTATTGTTCAAATTTGACTGGTCTCTTGAAAAAGAGTGCAAATACCATGGTATAAGAACTTATACCTAAAAATATTTTGAGTACAGACACTTGATGTCAGAGAAGATGTTCAGGAAGATCTAGTTTAAGGTTTCTTAATCTGCAATCCACAAATCTCTGGAAAGCGCAGGCAATTGTGTGTGTCTGTGCGTGCACGTGTTTCTCCTCAGAGCCTCTGGCTTTTATGAGACCCTCACAGAGGGGGTGGCTGAATTCTGCTTTTGTGGTGAGCATCATCCAGGGACTTGCTTGGAGTCCTGGCTCTGCTGCTCCTAGGCAGTGTGGCTTTTAGCAACTCCATCTTTCTGAACCTCAGGACCTCGTTTCTATTTCTCCTAGGATTGTTACAAAGCTCGAACAACAGCACTTTTGAATTGTAAAGTGTCATATAAATTACAGTTGTGGCACTGATGTGGTAAGGAAGCTACGGCCAGCAGAAGTGGTTGAGTGATCTGCTCAGTGACCATTACCAGTGGTCCCAGAGCCCTGACACCTCCTCTCCCAAGGCCTTCTCAATACACTGTTTCCTCAAAATAAGGCCGTGGCTTTTCCTGATAACAAAATGACCCAGTGCAAAAACCATTCAACAGGGAAAAACCGGCCTTGTCAACAAATGGTGCTGGGACAACTAGATATCTATCTGCAGAAAATGAAGTTGGACCCCTAACCATACACAAAATTTAACTCAAAATGGATCATAGAATTAAATGCATGAGACAAAACTGTAAAACTCTTGGAATATAACATTAGGAGTAAATCTTCATGATCTTGGTTTAAGTAAAGTGTTCTTAGATATAACGTTGAAAGCACACACAACAAAATAAAAATGGGACTTCTGTGCTTCATAAGACACCAGTCTATTAAAAAGTAGATAAACGGGACTTCTGTGCTTCATAAGACACCAGTAAGAAAGTGAAAAGATGTTAGCCCAGCACTGTACCACGTGCCTGTATTCCCAGCTATTCAGCAAGAGGCTGAGGTAGGAGGATCACTCAAGCAGGGTTTGAGGCTGAGTTTGCTATGATTATGCCTGTGAATAGCCACTGTACTCCAACCTGGGCAGCATAATGAGACCCTGTCTTAAAAAAAAAAGGGGGGGGGCTGGGGGACAGGGTGTGGTGGCTCGCGCCTGTAATCCCAGCACTTTGGGAGGCCAAGGCGGGCGGATCACAAGGTCAGGAGATCGAGACCACAGTGAAACCCCGTCTCTACTAAAAATACAAAAAGTTAGCCAGGCACGGTGGCAGGTGCTTGTAGTCCCAGCTACTTTCGAGGCTGAGGCAGGAGAATGGTGTGAACCCGGGAGGTGGAGCTTGCAGTGAGCCAAGATCGCGCCACTACACTCCAGCCTGGGCGACAGAGCGAGACTCCATCTCAAAAAAAAAAAAAGAGGAAGTAGGCCAGGCATGGTGGCTCATGCCTGTAATCCCAGCACTTTGGGAGGCCAAGGTGGGTGGATCACGAGGTCAGGAGTTTGAGACCAGCCTAGCCAGCATGGTGAAACCCTGTCTCTACTAAGAATACAAAAATTAGCCAGGCATGGTGGTGCATGCCTGTAATCTGAGCTACTCAGGAGGCTGAGGCAGGAGAATCACTTGAATCCCGGAGGTGGAGGTTGCAGTAAGCTGAGATTGCGCCATTGCACTCCAGCCTAGGTGACAGAGCGAGACTCCATCTTAAAAAAAAAAAAAAGTAAGAAGACAACCATCATAATGGGAGGAAAGATTGCAAGTCAAGGCCAGGCATGGTGGCTCAAGCCTATAATCCCAGCACTTTGGGAGACCGAGGCGGGTGGATCATGAGGTCAGCAGATCGAGACCATCCTGCCTTACATGGTGAAACCCTGTCTTTACTAAAAATACAAAAAATTAGCCAGACGAGGTGGCGGACACCTGTAGTCCCAGCTACTTGGGAGGCTGAGGCAGGATAATGGCGTGAACCTGGGAGGCGGAGCTTGTGGCGAGCCGAGATCCGGCCACTGCACTCCAGCCTGGGCAACAGAGCGAGACTCCGTCTCAGAAAAATAAATAAATAAAGATTGCAAGTCATAGATTTGGTAAGGGACTTGTATTCAGAATATATATATATGCGCGCGTGTGTGTGTGTGTGTGTGTGTATGTGAAAAAACTTTTACAACTCAACCAATGACCCAATTTAAGAATGGCTAAAGGATTCAGATATACATTTCTACAAAGACAAGATACAAATGGCTGATAAGCATATGAAAAGATGCTGAACATTATTTATTAGGAAAAAGAAAAACCACACTGAGATACCACTTCACACCACTAGGATGGATATAACAAAAAAGACAACAACAAGTCTACGTAAGATGTGGAGAAATTGGAACTCTTATTAATTGATGGTGAGAATGTGAAATGATGCAGCCATTTTGAAAAATGGTCTGGTAGTTCTTCAGAATGTTAAATATAGTGTTACTATATGACCCAGCAACTACATTCATAGGTATATACTCAACCAAAATGAAAACATGGTAAGCGAAAGAAGCTGTCACTAAAAGCCACCTATTGTATGATTCCATTTGTATGAAATATCCACAGTAGGCAAATACGTAGTGACAGGGCTGCTGGGGTCAGAGTTGGAGTTGGGGATCAGAGAGTGGCTGCTGATACTAGGTACTAAGGTACTGAGTACTAGGTACGGAATTTCTTTTTGGGGTGATGAAAATGTTCTGGGCTTAGATGGTGTTGATTGCATATACTGCTGTGAATGTACTAATAACCACTGAATTATAATCTTCTAAAAGGGTGAATTTTATGGGTGTGAATTATATCTTAACAAACTGTTATTAGAAAATAATAAAAATAACAGGCTTCCAAATTTGCTTTCTTGCCTTTTGAAAGATTGTGGATGAAACATACTTTTTTTCTTTTGATTTCCTGGCAGCCACGTGACCTTTACTCACAGGCCTAAATCACATGAGTTTAGTGGTCTAAATAGGGTCCCTGGTGAGCGGTGGCCTGAGTACCATTTGCATGTACCAGGGGACAGCTTCTGCTCCAGGGCACACGTGCAAGACCCAGCAGTAACGAAGGCCAGTGGCCTTGCCCCTCAGAGGGATTTTTCCAGGTGAAGATTCACAAGGCAGCAGGGGAAGCCTGTTTGCACTGTGCGCAGCTATATTAGCCTATGAATGAACCAGTAACAAAGATTTTGAGCCTTATTATTTTAGAGGGTTTAATGTTAGGTTATTTTGTTCATCATATGTAAATAGAACGATTTCAGAAAGCTTATCAGTCACACTTGCTTTTAAAAAGTACTCTAAAGAACTGCAAAATATTGAATTATTCCTCAGCATTCTCTTAGAAGTTAGTTCATATATACATTAGCATCTTGCTGTTTGCTCTGTGTCTCATACTAAAAAAAAGATTATACATTCGTGTAATAGATTACAAATTCATTATTTTACCTTTAAAATAGAAAATAAAACAACCCTTTTTAAATTCAACTGTGTTCTAAAGCACATGTTCCAAAACTACTCTGTACATAAAAATCAATTGGGGCTCATTAAAAATGTAAATTTCCTAGGTCCCTACCCCCCAAGAGATTGGTTCAAACTGAATTTTTAAGGAACATTCCATATAATTCTGAGGAATAGGGTTTGCCCTATAATAGACTATGCCCTAGGGACTCTAGCCTAGAATTCGGAGTAGTAGAAAGGCGGTTAAAGTGTTCTTCACGTTACCATAGGTAATTAATAGGAATTAAGATAGTTTTAGCCTTTTGATATTGTATGTAGATGACATCCACATTCTTATTGTGCTGTTAGAAAGTAGTATTTTCTCACCAACATTTCACAGTGTGTGAAATTGTAGTCTCTGCCCCTACTGACAGCACCTTTGTGCTATGAAGCTATTAATGCAGCCCTGTCACCGCCTGCTTTTTCCAGATTTCCTTTGACCTCGCTGAGTACACTGCAGATGTTGATGGAGTTGGCACTCTACGACTTCTAGATGCAGTTAAGACTTGTGGCCTTATCAACTCTGTGAAGTTCTACCAAGCCTCAACAAGTGAACTTTATGGGAAAGTGCAGGAAATACCCCAGAAGGAGACCACCCCTTTCTATCCCCGGTCACCCTATGGTGAGAATGCGTGTGCACACCTGAGCGCATGTGCGGCATTATCTGTGGGTGTGGGAGGTGTGTGTTTTTTCTTTCATTCTGTTCATGTCTCACAGCTGAAGTCATTTGGGTGTGAGGTTAACATTAAGGTAAAGTGACTGAACTTGTTGAGAAGCATACCTTTATACATTGCTAACTGCAAGTATTTGCTGCCATTACCTTGGGGGTGAAATTACTGCCTCACTTCACCAACCCATGTTCATTCAACCCTTCCATACAGATCGCTTTAAATGGAAAATCAGACCCAATGTGATGCTTTTTCTAAACTGTTGAGGTTATACTGAAGTGATAAGATTTCATGTTTATTTTCCATGAAAGTTTCCTTGAGCTCAAAACCTTAAAAAAAAAAAAGACTATTATGTCTAATACATTTGTAAAGAGAATATTAATGAAAGACTTGAGTGATAAAATTTCAAAGCATTTGGAATGTTAAGATCCCTATTTTTTCCCATTCTAATTCCTCAAAAGTTAAAAGAGAGAGAGAGAGAGAGAATGAGAGAGAATAAGATCTAAGAAAGATTCAGTCAATTAGATTGTCACATAGCGCATTGTGGGCATTACAAAAGTAAGAAATTCTTAAAATATTTCCTGGTGAACATGATTAACTGGCGTCAGAAGCTTTATTTTGTCTTTGGTTTTTGATACTTTTTTGTATTTTGATGCATTACAGATTATTATTTTGGCAAGTTGTTACTGTTTAAAATGGGTGAAAATCACTGTCTTTTATAACAAACTTCATTGTTTAAAAAATTTATTCCAACAGGGGCAGCAAAACTCTATGCCTATTGGATTGTGGTGAACTTCCGTGAGGCGTATAATCTCTTTGCAGTGAATGGCATTCTCTTCAATCATGAGAGTCCCAGAAGAGGTCAGTAAATATATTAACTGAAAAGAGAATTTCAGACTTGAACAACAAGAAGTTGCATGTATATTTGGTATATGTACTACAGAGACTGAAAAATTTCCTATCTGTATCTAATTATTATGAATGTCAGAGTGGCAAATGAAGAAATGTATACCCAGCCTTAGTTTTTTGTAATTTTATTTTGAGTTTGTAGGGTTTTAAATTTTAACATTCAAAACTGAACAGTGTTCCAGTTTTACCATTTTAATTAGTAGGTCTTATCAAGCATGTTTTCAACCTGAGTATTAGGAATCTGCTCTATGAATGCAAAGGAATAAGTAGTAAACTAATGATTGCTTTTGGAAATTACTCCTATTCAAATAGTCTCAATTTGCAGAATCTATATTATTTTTTGACTTTGAACCAGTTAGATATTCAGTATTTTTTCTTTACATTTCATTAAATAGGCATCCAGAAATTACTATACTTGTAGAGTGTATTTTAAAATGAATTTGATCAGTTTTTTAACAAGATTTTTAAAAAATGACACATAACATTTTTATGGAGTATATAGTATTGTTTTGAAAGAATGTATAGTGATCAAATCAGAGTAATTAGCATATCTGTCACCTCAGACATTTACTGTATGTTTGTGTTAGGAACATTTAAAAACCTCTTTTCTAGCTAATTAGAAAATACATAATAATGTGGTGAACTATAGAGCACTCTACAGAACACTAGAATTTAATGTCTATCTAGCTGTAATTTTATATCCTTTAAGAACTCTCTCCTTATTCCCCACTCCCTTGAAGTCAGCTCTTAATTTAGAAGTATTATCAGATATTTTTGGAAAACCATATTTGTTTGCATTGGCTTGTTGCCTTTTCAGAGTTGTTGATGAGACTGTAGCAACGTGCTAGTTCTCCTGTTCCCAGTATTAAGCTTTAAGAAAATGTGCACCCCCATCATTACTTCTGATTTACTGAAGCATGAGAAAGCTTTACAAAGCATGCACATGCTTTACAAAGTAAAAATTATCTGTAAACCTTCGAAGAGGTTTTGTTAAATGTTGCTATCACTTAGATTTTCAGTCTGAGAATAAATGAGAAGTCCAGTGTTAAAAGCTGTTTCATGACCAACAACTACTACGCATATAACTTTTCAGTGAAATTTTATGTGACTATGTAGCTACCTAGTTAAACCAAGAAGTCATGAAGAAAGATTAAAGTGACGGGTTTATAAAGGTGTCTGTAGCGTCAGTACATTTTTATTTTATAATTGCTTAAGTTAAAAATTCCCATCATGGGCTGTTAAAGCCTAAGAACCCAGCCTGTCATCAGGTTGCCTGAAAGGAAAACAAGTTCACAAGCAGCGAGAAACATTTATTTAATGAATTTTGTGGTCCTGGGTGCCAGTGGTGAGGGAGAAAGGAAAAGGAAGATCCTGGCTGTGGTTGCCTGCAGCATGTGGTATGAGGGCGCCCACAGAGTCTGCTGAGTCGTGGTGATCCCTGCCTCTTTCTCACAAACATGTTCATACACATTGTTTGGGTTTCTGTATTCATCCTCCCTCAACTTTTCCACCTCCAAAAAATAATAAAATAAAAGTTAATTGTTGTGAATCAGGTCAGGATAGGGAGAAACATTCCTGGGTTGCAAAGTGAAAAAAGATAAATTTAAGTATAGCTCTCCCTAATTCTCTCTTTGTGTACCTCCTAATGAGAACTTATTTTTTGTCTTTGTAGATGTTAACCACTAAAAAAAAAAAAAAACTGTATTTTAAGGCCAGGCACAGTGCCCCACATCTGTAATCCCAGAACTTTGGGAGGCCAAGTTGGGGGGGGATCACTTGAGGCCACGAGTTCGGGACCAGCCTGGGCAACATAGCAAGATCCCATCTCTCCAAAAAATAAAAAACAAATCAGCCAGGTGTGGTCATGTGTACCTGAAGTCCTAGCTACTCGGGAAGCTGAGTTGGAAAAATTCTTGGAGCCTAAGAGTTCGAGGCTGCAGTGGGCTGTAATTGTGCCACTGCACTCTAGCCTGGGCAACATAGTGAGACCCCTGTCTCTAAAAAGATTGTTTTAAAGTAATAAAAAATATTTTAAAAGTAATACTTCTTCATTTAAAATAAAATTATCAAGTAAAAGTTCCCACCCTCATGATAACTGCCAGCCCTGTCCTCAGACCCACTGTTAACATTCCTTCAGAAAAGGTCTATCTATCTTTAAACATATAGAGTTCTGCTATACATATTGTTCTGCAGCTTCAGGCTTCTATTAAATATCTTTAGGAACTTGACCTTAACTGTAGCATACACCATTTTGTTTTGTTCTATTATATGCCTGGAAATCAATGGTATCACATTTTTAACTATATAATCAAATAATGAGAAAAAGAGGTGTATATGAAAATGATATTAATATTTTGATATGTAATGCCTACTATTGACAGCATTTCTTAAAACTTGATAATTAATTTTCATATTAAATTAATCTGACAGTAATGTTGTTTTGCCAACATTAATTATTGTTTTCTGAGGAGATTTCTTTTCCAGACTGAGAATTCTGTGATGGCAGGACTCTGTTGTATTTGTACATCTCCAGCTTCCAGGCGGTGCCTAATTGCTAATAAGCATTCAGTAAATATTTTTAAATGAATGAATAAATGAATATCTCATGTTTCAGTAACAGCTTACTGACTTGAAAGCTAGGTGGTCTGAATTACAGAAAAGTAGAAATTATATAAATATTTATAAATATTGTTTTGTTGATGTTACTCATATAGTAGTTAAAGTTAATAAACAGGCTGGGCACAGTGGCTCATGCCTGTAATCCCATCACTTTGGGATACTGACTCAGGTGCAACACGAGATCAGGAGTTCGAGACCAGCCTGGCCAACATGGTGAAACCCCATCTCTACTAAAAATACAAAAAATTAGCTGGGCATGGTGCTGGGCGCCTATAATCCCGGCTGCTCAGGAGGCTGAGGCAGGAGAATCACTTGAACCCAGGAGGCAGAGGTTGCAATGAGCCAAGACTGCGCCAGCCCGGGCGACAGTGCGAGACTCCATCTCAAAAAAAAAAAAAAAAAAAAGCTAATAAATGATTTTGAAGTAAAGATTCAATCTGATATACATTAATAAACAGCTAAAATTCAGTTTTTTTCATTTTTTTGTTCATAATCTTTGTAAACGTAGAATTTCCTGTGGTACTTTAAGTGAGTTTGTTTTCTTAAGTTGGTTGAACATTTATACATCAGTCTTCTTGTTCCCTGTTATTGCAGGGAACAAACCCTTTTTTTCTACACGGTGTAGGAAAACCTTGTTTTGTAAACCTCAATCTAGTCCTAGGTATCCAATCACACATGCTGAATTTGTAGAGCCCAAGTTGATGCAGTTTTGGGGGGCCATATACTTTTTCTCTAACAAAGTATAATTGTCAAAGGTCCCCTCTCATTGCATGAATAACATTTCATGAGAATTTCTGACTTTCAAACATGGGGAAAAGTATTTTTTAATCTAACGATAGGCTAAACCAGAAGTTGACAGTCTAGGACTCATGGGCCAAATCTGTCCTACCAGCCTAGTTTTGAAAATGAAGTTTTATTGTAAGTCAGGCAGATGCACTTGTTTATATATCATCTATGGCTGCTTTCACCTATGGAGTCTTGCAGTGTGCAGAGCCTAAAGTATTTGTTGTCTGGGCCTTTAAGAAAACATTTGCTGGCCCCAGCTGTAGACAGATCCTCAACATTCAAGAAACTTTCACTTGGGTTGATTGTGGGTTTCTCCCACGGTGACAAGGTAGTCTTTTAGAAGGATTTCCTATAAATGTTAAACAGCATAGTGCACCAGTCCTTAAGCAGAATTCCTGAAGTGCTTTGGCAGGTTGGAGTTCTGTTGTACTTCACTGCTGTATGCAGGTAACCAAGTGCTCTGAAGGATCAAGCACTATGACCAAGTGCTCTGAAGGAAAGCTAGTTGTCAGTGACGTATGAAACCAAATAAGCTAGTAGCTGATGATATATATGTAGCGTGGTTTGTCCAACAGTCACAGCTCCTGAGCTTGGACACTGCTCATTGTGATTGTGACTGCCTTCTGTGTCTTTTCTCCATCCCAGCCGTTTTTGGTTTTCTTTCTTTTTCTTTTCTTTTTTTTTTGAAGACTTGATTTATTTATTTAGGTTTTCTTTCTAAATATATTTGTTTTGAGAACCGTGTAATACATCTAGAGATAGCAAGAATCACCTGTGTTAGCATCAGATCAACAGTTGGAAATCATTGATTTAGGGAATAAAGCCAATAATCTACTGACTCTGCATCCCTCAGTCAGCCTTCCAGTCACTCTGTTGGTGAAAGCAAGAGGGTGGATGGCACTAGTGCTATAGGCTTGCTTCTTGTAAAATGGGAGCACTTTAGTAATATTTACTACAAATTAAGAGTAATAGAATTTTATAATTAAATGTCTGTAAGTCATAAAAATGTATATAGTAATATATGTTTTATGAATAACTATTACTATGTATTATATACTGATATTCGCAGACGTTAACCAGGTGCCTTCTTTCATATGTACTCAGTTTTTTAAAATAAAAAAGTAGGCAATCATAACCTGCATAACGAATTTTGGTCAATGAGGGACTACAATGGTCCCATAAGATTATAATACTGTATTATAATTAAAAAATCACATTTTTACCGTACTTTTTCTGTGTTTAGGTATGCTTAAATACACGAGTTTAGGCATATGTTATTTTATTGTGCTTCATAGATATTGCTTTTTTTTGTTTTTCAAACTGAAGGTGTGTGGCAACCCTGCATTAAGCAAATCTATAGATACTATGTTTTCGGGTGTTCATCTCCTGTCTGTCTGTCACATTTTGATAATTCTCCTAATATTTCAAACTTTTAATTATTATTATATTTGTTATGATGATCTGTGATCAGTGATCTTTGGTTTTACTGTTGTGATTGTTTTCAGGCACCATGAACTGCACCCATAAAAGACAGTGAACTTAATCCA